TTTTGAAATTCTCTTATAAAAATAAAGGGAATTTAACTATGAAATAACAGGGTAACGTGGATGTTACTTTTGTTTGCTCCCAAGAATTACTGAGATAAATATAGAATAGGTACTGTAGCTCATTGAATTTTGCCTATAATGGCAAATTTGAGGAACGACCCAGCTTAAACGGTTATATTTGGGGTGCATTATGCAAAGATCTAGCTCCGTTTGAAGTGTATAATGGTGAAAAGATAGAAGGGAAGAGAAAAAGAAAATAACCAGCATGAAGTACATGAACTCATATACAGTGGTAAGGGATGCCCTGCAGCAAGAGGACTAGATTAGGGTAGATTATCCTGGAGAAAAACTATCTACACGGTTACTAAGCACTGACACTAATTTCATGCTACATAAAACAATCAGTATTTTATTTACTAGGCTTTATCAAGCTGATCCAATTCCTTACTCAACATTTGACAAATTCATGAACTGAAAGTAAACTCAAAAGAAAAACAATTATTTCTACTCCATTGTTCAACAAAAGCAACATTCTGAAATTGTGTTACACCCTTAGAATCAAATATAAGCCTGCCACCCTATTCTAAAAGGAAATCTTTTTCACTCATTTCATCTTCTTTCCTTCTGCTCAATCATTATAAATGATTCAGTGCTGGGGAAAAGAACTTTTTGAGAAATGATTAATACTGATTTTGACTCTAAATGATCTGGCCAGTTGGCAAAAATTGGGAGAAAATTATAGGTAGCAAACATCCAGGTGGTAAAGATACACATAACCTCTTATATATATCAAGTATTTGATATAAATAAGTGCCAAAGGTCTTTTTGTAAAGTAACAGGGAAGGAGGAAAAAGAATCTCAGCCTCATCAGATTCACAGAAATATGAACTATTAGATTCTTAAACTACTTCTACACTACAAAAATATTCTTTATTTACCAGCAATTTTACTTTTCCTATAAAAATGCAGGGAACAACCATTCTGATTCTACAACCCCAAATCCTTTCTTACAGTCCCATTCTTATTTATTTTATATATTAAATTTATTGCTTTATCCTATGGATTCACATTTTTTTTATTTCTTGATAGCAAATTTCAGGGAGGTAGATATGCTTTGCTTCTTAGCCAATAAAGTAGTTATAATTTATTTTATTCAATTTATATGGCTGCTCATTTCAAACAAGTGACTCAGAACAGTTAACCATCAATTCAATTATTTCAAATGTTCCAATCAACACTTCAATCCCCATGCTGGGGACATTGCCACATGTTCTAAGCCTTGTGAAAGATTAATATAGTTGGGCCAATCTGACTTCTAGGAGAGATAATGCACATGCCAGGTGCCACTTCCTGGGTTTTGACAGGCAGCACCTTTTAATGGGCTGGACTAGTAACATGACTTTCCTGTCTGCCCTGATGAATAGACGTGAACAAATTTAATTGTTAAAACAATTAAAATCAGAAAAAAATGAATAGAAAAATGCAAATTTAAAAACCAAAATGTCTGAGGGTGAGAAACTTCTCTATTTTTTCAGTAAAACACAACCACCGGAGTCTTTGATGAGTTGATTTTTGGGTCCATATTCATGGCATCATGAATATATCGAACATTCATTTCAATTAATTCAGCAACAACACACCATCTGCATATAAACTTGCACACTCACACCCTAACCAACACACCTTTAATGACATCACAAGTATCCCTTATACATGTATTCATAAAGACAGGGAGACACCATACATCTTTTTCTTATGTTGTGCTCAGTGTTGAACTATTCCCATTTACTCTTATGTTCTTTGTTGCTCTTATTGCATGCAGCAAAACACTGCATAGTTCAAGCCTATTCATTTAATTATTTGCATTTGTTCTTTGCTACCACTGGAAGACCTGAAAGAACAGGTTAGGGACAGACTGTTATAGAGAATATATGTGTGATTATGAAGAGTTAACACCAATTTGGCACATAAACATCTTGCTACTTTTCCTTTTGTATAGAGTTAAGCATTGCTCATCTATTTCTCCAATTACATCATCAACTTTAATATTTTTCAACATTCTTACAGCATTTATTTTCATTTCATTATTCTTTTTTAGGTATGTATAAGATTTATTTCAATACCACTCTTCTACATATCACTATAATTCCTATAGAAATCTCCAAAATACTCTTCCAGCATTCTCAGATATCACTGTCGTTTTTCATCCATTCACTCTGCTTTGAGCTCCTGCTTTCGCTCTATTAAAAAAACAACCATCAAAATTTCTTTACATTTTCTCCGCCAAGTTTAAACTTAACTGTTCCTGGCTGATTATGACTACCATTTTCTGAGTTATCATTTTCTCTGTACAAATTATATATTTCTCCAAATTTGTAAAAATCCTACTAGCATAACTCAAAACATGTTTGACAGTCTGGAACAAAATTGTTTTACTCAGGCAGCTTCCTCATGGTCTTTCCTTTGATTCAATTTCTATTGAGTTGGGAGATTACTTTCAAATAATTTTTCATATAGGACTTAACTTTTATATTGGCATTCTTCCCTTACCTCTTTTGTTTCTTTTTCTTCCATGTACTTTTGATGCTATTAATATATGGTCCATAGCACATTTAAATATCTCACCTATCTTGTATTTTTCTGTGATTCTCTGGCTGTCCCATCCCAAATAAAGTCGTCATGCTTTTTAAACCCAATTCTATATATTTGTATGTACTGATTTAATAAATATAAACCATGTATTTTAATAAAAAACCTTTAACTCTAGTTACTTACCAAATAGTAAAAATTCTCATTTAGTCTTGGATCATTTTCTAAACTTTCTCCAGTCTATTCATATCACCTAGCAGAATAATTTTACCTTTTGAATTGCAGTAATTCAGGATGGAGTACAATTTTTCAAAAACCTTTTGATAGTCAATTATTACAGTATCACTGGTCACTAGAATGTAATATTCAGCTGCCGCTAAAGTATGAATTTTTCATTTAAAATGCACTAAAAATCTACATAGCAGCAATTGACACTTTTTTATACCTTTCATTTAAAATCAAATCTACAGGTTAACTTTGTTCTGTATATTAATCAATTATGCACTACAACTTCAAATCATCTTCAGCAACTTCCCACTTTTCTCTTAAGTTTAATACACATAAACATAACTGTTTTTCTTTCATTTGTTAATTCATCTTTTACTTCTCTTACATTCCAATCTATATCTATATCTATGAAAGCAAAATACCACTCATGCCTCATCACAAAATCTCCAGAACAGTAAAGCCTACAAACTTGAAATTTGGCATGTATGCTCCTCTTGGCTTCTAGGTGCTCACTAAGAAAGGATTTTTCAAAATGACCACCAGAGCATTAGTATTTCATATATTATTATTAACAGCTCTGATGCTAAGGAGTTCTACTCCCCCTCCCCACCTGAAAAGAAATCTGTTCCAAATGCAAAACACAGAGGAATTTCAGTTTCACAGCAGCAACCAGCTTTAGTACAGAACAGAATTAAGCTATGCTCAGGCTCCTTGCTGTCTCCTTCTTGCTCACACAGCAAATACTGTTTCAGTTTTCAAACAGCCCCCAACTCTCACACACTGACAGGACACTAGCCAGATGAATACCGATGGATGCTGGTAGGCAGAGGCACATTTTTCCCCCTTATTTTCTTCCCCCAAAACTAAGCCTGATCACATAACGTGATCTAAGCACGCTAAGCACGGTTATAGAGCTAGTCTTATATATCAGTCATCAAATGGGCTTATAGATGTTGACCTCTGCATCTTACGGCATATTATTTCCCACCTTCATTATTCTTATAACTCAAGATGGTTGAGATACCTAATGTTCCTTCCTCTTATTTTCTCCACAATTATCACCCTGTCAGATGGGTTGGGATGTGATTGAGGGACAGGCCCTACCTTCTTTAATGCCTAAGGCAGGACTAGAATTTACAATCTCCTGGTTTATAGCTTGGTGCCTTAATTTTGTAACATCACAAGTATCTTCCATTATGCACTTTGATTTTCTTCAGATTCACAATCAAAAGTGAGTTACATACACTACTGTACTAATAAACCTTCTCACTCAAAGGCCCCAAATTCTTTCTCCTGCTCTCTTCACTTGTTCAGCTTCCCAGCACACTCCTCTTAATTACTTGAAGGCTGAGGTCTCCTTCCTTTGAGCACCAGCTTTACTATCCATTCGTATTTCACAATTAAGGAATGGGGATTAAAAGAACAAATGAATGGAGTGTTCACTTCCTAGCACCATTCAAAAAACCCTTGAACACGTGCCTCTTTTTTTTTTTTAACCCAACCTTCTAATGTTCAACACCACACCAAGATGTTTTAAATGAACTTCTCTCCACGAGCATCCTCTATTTAGCCTAAAGAACCATCCACCCAAATTGTTGCTCTCCAGGTATGTTGCTTTTTAATTGCCAAGATTCCATAAAGCACAGACACCTTAGCTGGTGATTATGCGAGTTGAGGGCATACAGAACTAGAGGCGTTGGGTGGGGTTAGTTGGATTACGGCTGCCTTACACTCTTGCTAAATTTTACCTTTTTGTCAGGCGACGACTAATCCACAATGAAAGTTACTGTTAAAATTATGTATTAAAGACTATCGCCATCGTTCTCCTGGACACTACCAAGCTTTCCTTCTCATGACCCTCTTCCAAACCCCCTTGTTGGCAAACTTTAAAAGCCAAAGGATTTTCCCGCTTGCCTCGTATTTTTAACCTTCTGGTCTTTGCAGAGGTTACTCGTTCCTAATCAAAACACACACTAGTCTTCGCAACAAATCCGCTCGGCCTTGTCTCTCCTCTCCTCACATCACAATCCCCTTCCCACGTCGCTCCCTCCCCATCGGGGGGCGAGGTCGCCCATGTTTCTCCCCTCAGCTTCGGTGTCTGAGGAAAGTACATCTCCCCATCCACTGGCCGGAAGAATGGCCGTCTCCTACGTTTCCCGGTTGCCCGTCCCAGTCCCTCTCACCCGCGGCCGCCCCCGAAGCTACTATAGGCCCGGTCGTCATAAGCATCGAAATCCGCCATTGCTGCCGCTCCTGCCGCCTCAGCCTCCCCGAGCGCGAGCGAGCGCTGCAGGACCCCGCGCCGTTTATATAGCGGGCCAAACTGAGGGGCTGCCCGTCGTGCCGCCTGAAGTCGATCGCCTTCCTGCGCCTGCGCCTTGCGGATGGCGGCGGGTGTGCCCTCGGCGCTGCCTGATTGAAAAGCGGTGGGAAAGAGAGCGAGGCATAAGTAACCTCATGAGACAGGAAGAGGTTTTCCATTTTGAAAATCACCCAAGGCGTGGAGAGGCAGAGCACATGTTGGGGTTTGAGGTCGGGTATAAGCTTTTCCCAGTTACCTGATCTAATTTAGAAAACAGTGTAGACAGAAGGGGGGGAAGGAAGCGACGTATTTATTTAATTTTGCCAATCAAGAGCCAATAAAGCACATTTTCCAGAAAGTGTCGTTTCCCAGTTTAAAATGCATAGGCACAAGATCAAGAGATAGGATAGGAATGTGTATGTTGCTGAACTGTCTCTGATTACCTCTATGTGTTACCATTGTTCTATGCTATTTTGTTGCCTTCCCTTATTCATAAAACATACCTCCCGTTTTCATCATTAAAAATGAGGAAAATTCAGTGCAGGGATGACTTCAATATTGTAAAGGAATAACTTCACTAAAAATATTGTTGAAAAGGGAAAAGGAAAGAAAACCATCACTATCAAAATTATACACCAAAGATGCTACCCTCTTCGCTTGAAAAAAGTGTGATCTCACTGTCACTGTATTTTGTGTTATTATATTTGTGTTTTTGCCTCATTCTCAGTTAAGCAGGTTTGAGAGTATACTTTAGTTTTGCATATAAAGTGACATCTGAACTTCAGAAGGATGGGAAAAAATATCTGAGTTGTTGAAATCCTGCGTCAAAGTAGACAACAATAGCTGGACTGAAAATGTATTCTTTTTCTACTGAAATGTTGCGGCACCAAAGTATTGTTGTTTCCAAACTAACGTTTGGATTTCCTTTAATGCAGGCCAATTCCATGTCTTGTTTCCAGAAGAAGCTCATGGGGCTGTTTTTGCCCATTGCTCAGGTTTTCAAAAATTAAAGCCATTTATCTGAGATGATTGGAGGATACCTGCTATTGTTTTGAAACTCCCTCAAGCCCTGAATATGTCAGCAGGCCTGGGGGGATCCCAGGGAATTGGAGACAATTCTGAGATGGCAATACTGTGTTTGATATTTTTATAGTCTCCATGTGGTTTGTATACAATACTTTGTTTTAAAAATAATTTTTAGTAATGATTTGAATGAATGAATGAATGAATGAATGAATTATTTATTGGCCAAGTGTGATTAGACACACAAGGAATTTGTCTTGGTGCATATGCTCTCAGTGTACATAAAAAGAAAAGATGTATTCGTCAAGAATCATTAAGGTACAACACTTAAGGATAGTCATAGGGTACAATAAGCTATCAAATCATAGTAGGAAATAGTCAATATAAATTGTAAGCAACAAAGTTACAGTCATATAGTCACAAGTGAGGGGATGGGTGATAGGAGTGATGAGAAGATTAATAGTGATAGTAATGCAGACTTAGTAAATAGTTGGACAATTGGACATTTTTAAAAATATTTTTAAAAATATTTTTAAAAATATTTTAATATTTTTATTGTTCTGTGACATGGATGGGTATATAAATGTAATTAATAAATAACCAAAAATAAATTGCATGGGTTGAACTAAAAGGTCTCCAAGGCCCCTTTCAACCTTATAATTTTATGAGGTAATGTTCTTTGGCATACACACAGGTAGTCCTGGGCTTAAAATGGTTCATTTAGTGACCATTCAAAGTTACAATGGCACTGAAAAAAAGTGACTTGTGACTGTTTTTCACACTTATGATTGCTGCAGCATCCCCATGGTCACGTGATCAAAATTCAGATGCTTGGCAACTGACTCATATTTATGCAGTGTCCTGGAGTCATGTGATCACCTTTTGTGATGGGGAAGCCTCATTCACTTAACAAGTGTGTTACTAGAACAACTAGATATTAGGACAGTTTTTCCCTGAAAGCCATCACTCTGCTAAACAAATAATTCCCTCAACACGGTTCAACTATTACAAAGTCTGCACTACTATTACTGTTAATCTTCTCATCACTCCTTATCACCCATCCCCTCCCACTTGTGACTGTATGACTGTAACTTTGTTACTTGTATCCTTACGGTTTATATTGACTGTTTCCTAGTATGATTTGATTGCTTATCCCTATGACTATCATTAAGTATTGTACCTTATGATTCTTGACTCTTGACAAATGTATCTTTTCTTTGATGTACACTGCGAGTATTTGCACCAAGACAAATTCCTTGTGTGTCCAATCACACTTGGCCAATAAAGTATTCTATTCTATTCTATTCTATTCTATTCTATTCTATTCTATTCTATTCTATTCTATTCTATTCCAACTTAACAACTGCAGTGATTCACTAAACAACTGTGACAAGGTTGTAAAATGGAGCAAAACTCACTTAACTGTCTCACTTAGCAACAGAAATTTTGGCCTCAATTGTGGTCATAAGTCAAAGACTACTTATATACCATTCATAAATGATTTTTATTGCACCTTTTTCTAAATATTCTTTGAAGTAAAATAGATGAATAAATTGGAAGCTAGTCTGCTAGTTGATGACTACCTGCACAGATATCCCAACCCTTCTCTCTGTGAAGGAAACATAAAATATTTTATCCTTTTATGAAAAAAGGCAGAACTAGGGACAAGCCTCTGATTACAGTCTAGAATTTGCAGGAATCCAGAGAAAATTCACATAAATGCTTCAAAAATTACTACTGTAAATTATTTCTGTCAATATAGGTGAAGCATCTGCTTGAAATTTGCCTTGAATTTTGTTTTACACATTACAAAGTTGAGTGTTTAAACTTTAGTCTTCACCCATTCTTCAGACTGTATTCATCATACAGTATTTCTATAGAATCTTCTCAGTAATCAATTTGTTAATTTGAATCTATCCTACCTCTTTTATATAGAGGCTTTGAGGCAATAAACACTCATTTAGAGCAGAGTAGCACCAATTTATAGTCTGATTGGAGCACTGAATTTCCTTTTAAATGTATTTTTTTACTTAAGTTGCCAGCTGTACTATTGTATAATTTATCTTTTTCAGCAGTGAATGTTTGCTTGTTTTAATACTTAACAAAATTTAAGAGGTTGAATACACACACGTGCATGCACGCGCACACACACACACACACACACACACACACACACACAGCTTGTCCTTTATTATGGGGTCTTGAGGCTGATTCATGAGGCTGAATCAATTGATGAATGGCTAAGAGGTATGTTTAGCTTAATAAACAGAAGGCTCAGAGAGGACATTATGGTAGTAATTGAAGGAAGAAGATGTCAATGTATTCTCCATTCTCTAGAAGACTCCAATGGTTCATTCTGACCCTATGATTCTATGAAATTGGTCTGTTTCCTAAGAAGCAAAGCTCTAAATTCTCTAGATCATACTTCTATGCTATATGGCCAAAACATCCTATTATATAAATTATTTTGAGTTTGCTTTTTATTCTTTTAATTGGCTTTATCTCACATCCTGGAATTAGGCAGTGAATATCAGGTAAGGCACACTTCCTGGGAGATAGCAGGTTGCAGCATGAATTATCAAGTCACTGTCCCAAAGAGACAAGGTTGGTTGTGAAGATTAGGTGGGTTTTTGAGAAGAGCTTTGACACTCAGCCTTTCATCTTATATGTTCAGCCATCTGCTATGCACCCTAAACAAAGCTGTCCCAAAAGTGCTTTTTCAAGAGTCATCTGGGCTTCCTTTGTTTTTCATTAAAGACATTTTGCTTCTCATCCAAGAAGCTTCTTCAATTCAAGTTCAAGAAGCTGAAGAAGCTTCTTGGATGAGAAGTGAGATGTCTTCAAGGAAAAAACGAAGTAAGTCCAGTTGTCTCGTGAAAAAGCACCTTTGGAACAAACATGACCTGGATGACTGATAATCTCCATAGACACTAATCTTAATGTATTGCACTGCAAACATGTTGAATCAAAAGATCTGCACTGTTGCTGAAATATAGCAGCTGTTTTGATCTTGTCTATGGAGGAAATCCTATATGTGCCTCAGGTATGAGCCACACTGTGCTGGTGATGGCTTGCTTAATCATGGTTTATTTAATAAACTAGTTTGTGAATTCACCTATATACCAACACCCTAAAATGCTTACACAAATTGCAAAGCATGTTTGTCTCACGCATCATGCTTAATAAGTTGTATAACAACTATTTGTATAAGACAGATTTTTGAGCTTTTTGAAGAAGGGTTGACATGAAAGCATCCTTGAGACATTTTTATTAGCCATCTACTCTAAATAAAGAATTGGGGACCTTTCATTCTTTCTCCTTTTGATTTTATTCACAGCTTTTAACTCCTTCAATAGTTTTTTTGATTTTCTCTAATAACAACCAGGCATATCTATAAATAAAAAACTGAAACAGCCTGGAAACCAGAAGACAGTTCCGGGTGGTATGAATGCTTGTTGGATGCCTTAGGGCAAGGGTTTTCAAACTTGGCAAGTTTAAGACTTGTGGACTTCAACTCCCAGAATTCCTGAGCTAATATGACTGGAGGAGGAATTCTGGAAGTTGAAGTCCACAAATCTTAAAGCTGTCAAGTTTGAAGACCCCTGACTTAGGTCCAGTCCCTCTGACTCAGTCCAACCCATCTTACAGGTTTGTTGCGGGGAAAAATAGGAAGAGGAAGGAGTAGTGGGTAAGTTTGTTGCCTTGAATTAAATATAAAAAGTTAGAATGAAAACAATTTGATAATAATAGGCATTACCTTGTGGGGTTTGCATGTTCTGAGGAGGATGAGAGCTATCCATGTTCATCATACTGGACAGGCCTCATCAGAGAAGCCCAGATGAAGAGTGTCTCTCCCATTAAGAATATGTGAGACACAGTGTACAGAAACCTATATCAGTCATTGCTCAGATCAGCAAGGTACTGAAGAAGCTTCTTGGATGAGAAATGAAACATTTCCAAGGGGAAAAAAGCCCAAAGTC